TGTAGCGCGAGATCTTTATAATTACTTGAAAACAGAGATCATTGATGACGTCAATAAATTAACTTCTTCCTCTGATGAAGTGGTGAGTCCGATAGCTGGGACTTTATTAGTGAGTTACACCGACTACTTAAATTTAATTAACGAAAATTGGGGACTCAATTCTCAAGCAGCTGGCAATTTCAAGGTATGTGCTGTTGATCCCACTACCGTTATAACCCCCGGTGAATCTTCAATGGTTATCGATGCCAATGTCTTCTCCAAGAAGTCTGGCGATGTATCCAGTGGAACATATGAGCCTTCAGAGTTCGAGAAGAGTCCACAGACTTCGACTCCTATGCAAAGTAGTGTGCCTAAGAGTGCAAATGGTACTCCGCAAAGAAGAGCAGCACCACCACCTCCACAACGTGGGGGGCCCAAGAAAGAGCGAGTGAGATGTGGTTTTGATTATACTGCTCAAGAACAAGGCGAGTTAACTTTCAAAGAAGGGGATATTATAACGGTTATGAAAAAAGAAGGGGATTGGTGGATGGGGGAGTTAAATGGTGTCCAAGGCTATTTCCCATCAAATTATGTTTCACCCGCTTAAGGCTTTGTTGGAGAAAGTCAGTCATAATCATCACTTCGTAGTTTTACTATTTTATTTAATTTTACTATTGACTGTTTAATAAACTATTACTATAGTTTATTTGTTATAAATAAAACTATACATATATTATAGTATATGTATAGTTTATATTTATATAATAAATCTATTATTTAAATAGATTATATAACTCTATAATATGATTCTAGTATTTAATTATACTCTAATAATAATAATAGTATAACAGCATACTCAAATATAATAGTAAATTAATAGTAAAATATCTATTTGTGAAAAGGAGGCAAATGTGTTGGAACGAAGGTCATATAAAAGCTTCGGGAGATATTGCGGACATGATCTTTAGTTTAGTTGAGTCGTCAATAGTTTCTTTAACGGATTGATAACTGACCATTCTATTTGGTGTTGTACACCGTTTCTTTCTAGGTTCGCCGAGTCTTGCATTAGTCATAGGTTGAGGCATTGATTGTATTCGTTCTTTAAATAGTTCCGATCCTTCCATGAACATAGGAGTGACTTGGTGAGGAGTTTGAGGGAAAGAGTTGAATTGTTGTCTGTCCGAGGAAGGACTTGACTTTTCGAAAATTTGTTTCTGAAGGGTGTCGTGGAGTTGTTGAGGTGTAGGAGTTGGGAGAATAGTTTCTTTAGGTTCTTCAAAAGACGTTGAAAGAGGAAAAGAACCTTTTCGATAACAAGCGGTAGCTTCTGGTATAGTAGAAGGTTCAATAGTATTGGAAAGAGATATCATCACCAAATTCTGAAGCAATTCCTTGTTCAGCAAAATACTGAATTTCGATGTTGAAAAGAACTGGGCAAATTGTGTGCGTTGGTCGACAACAAAACCAAAAAACATGAGATTTGGAGCTACTTCGATTGTTTGTTGAACTAATCCATTGAGTTGATGAGCAAATTGAATCGCCATCAAATGATATTTTTTTGATGGGAATCTTACAGTTTTGTTATATTCTTTGAAATTTGAAATGATTAAATGCTTTGGGAATTCTATCGCATTGGAGTGGGATATGATCATTAGATTTTGCCGTTTTTATTTATCGGCATTTTTAAAGACTCTCAAATACCAGAAATGCAATCTCATCGTTCGAATTAAAAATAAACTATTGTTTTATTATAATGTATGATATAATATATTTGGAATTGTATCGTTTTACATTATTACTAATATTTTCCAGAATTGTTTTTTTGTCGCTTTTATGGCGGTAAAAACACCTCAGAAACATGAGTGTTGAAATGGATTTTTTACTATAAATTAATGATTTAAAATTTGTATTTTATAATTAATCTATTTTTAAATTTAAAAATCCAATTTCTATTCAAAAAATAATATTTTAACGAATAGAAAAATAATAAAATTATTAATATTTTATTATATTTTTCTTATTCAAACTTGGATAATTGGCATAGAATTGGTAATAACATAAACAAATAAATATAACATTATAAATTATAACTAAATTAAACAAAATATGTATTGTTTCCTAATAATACTTTAAAATATCCAATGAAATTTCTGAGTAAAACAATTTTTTAATTAAATAATTATTATTAGAATTATTATTATTTATTATTAAATTATTTATAATTATTATAATTATAAATTATAATTAAAAAAAATACTTAAACAAAAACATGGAGAAAAAACGATACTTTTTATTGAAAAAACAACAACAAAGATTAAATGACCGACACAGACACTGAAACACTCTATAAATGTATTAACCAACTCGAAGAAATAAACAAACAACTTGTTACGGAACGTGATCAGCTCAAACATGAATTGGAACTCTTGCGCTCCTCTGAAGGCGTTGAAAGTCTAAACGTTCAACTTGACATTTTAAGACTTGAGAACATGCAATTGAAAACGTCACAACCACAAGAACAGCAACAACACTCATTAAAAAATCCACAAGACACGTCATACTTCCGCTATGAAGTGATTCAAGACTTTTTGTACCGTTCACTCAAAAACTCACTCGAAACACAAATTGAGGAAATGACTGTCACACTCAAAACAATTTATCATCCAAGTCAAGTACAACAGAACTCACACTTCTCAGAAATTCTTTCAGACAAGAGAACTAAGCTACAAATACTCGATGGGTTTCAAAAGAAAAATAGAAAAAGATTAATTGTACCAACTATTTCAAGTAATCAAACCTCAAAAAACGAGAAGGACGAGAAATATGCTTTGGTCTTTGGTATTTTGAATGCTCTCAAAATGGCGAATGTTAGATATGAACTCGTCGATATCAAGCCCGAGGATTTGTTAGCGATTCTGGAAACAGAAAATATCGGGTGCGAGTTGTGGGCACAAAGAATTCAACTCGAACTTGCCAACCAAGTTAGGTATTAGTTCTGAGTGGCTTTCTATCGGTGTGAACGATAATGCTGAACATAATCAAAATATGAAATCCGAATTATTTAATTAGTTTTCACTTTTACTTCTGGTGTTGACAAAGGGAACAAATTGAATTGTGCTAAGTAAGGTACCTCTCTGTGGGTGACTGTGACTCCCTCGCTCGATAATTGGTCCAACCATACGCCACACTCCCTTTCAACGTTTTGCCATTTCAAACTCCATCCACTTTCCTCAATTTTGAACTGTTTCAACAACATTTTGAACATAGTCTTCTCGTTCTTGAAATCCTTAACATACATTTTCATCGTCTGTGGGACAAACATATTTTTGTTTGCTCCAATCGCAACACATTGAGCACCCAAAAAATGGTTAATCGCCTTCTGCTCTTGGGCTTTGAAATCGCTAGCGTCGTAGATCCAGATTGGGGGCGATGTTGTAAGACCAAAAGAAATCAAAAACCCAATCATCTCATCCTTCTCTTTACACACAAACTTCGACTTCGGGTTGGTTTGTGGAAACACAACACTTCCTCCCAAAGAGTCGTCCTTCCCAAATCCTCCTCGCAACATTCCAACCAACACCTCGAATATGGTATATTCCAAACCATCAATCTTGTAACTGACTTTCTTGTACATGTCCATCAATTGCTTGTGTTCTAAATATGGGCGGTGTTTCATATACACCAAAGCGTGAAGCAACATGGTGTGATACACGTTGAGCCAAAACGCAGTTTTCTCCTCCTCCTTCAAATGGATCAATGAAATGACAGCCAATTCACTGCTTTGTGCTTCGAAAACTGCAAACTGTGCTTTATTGTCCAAATAAATAGATTCAATGTTCATGTCATTGACTCTTCCATAAAATCCAGATCTCAAATACAACATAACAATCGCGTACAAAACAGATCTACTGACCTCCATTGGACTTCTGCTTGTCTTTTCGATACTTTTTGTCGACAATTGGTTGAGTGGAGTTGTTGGGAATGATGGCATTAAGTGATCCAACACTCTCTCGTAAAGACCAAAGTTTGCAGCCAAATGGTAATTTGGATACATTTCTGGAGCATAAACCGAGTGAGGAACAACACCCCAACTCTCGGCGAACACAACATCTCCAGGTTTGGCGTTTGGATCGGTTGGAAGCGAGGCAACTCTTGGAGGAATGTCTGAGACAACCTTCATTTCGGGAGTCACCATTTCGTTGATTCCACAGGCCGAAAGTGGTATTTCGTCTTCTTTAATCACAGTTCAAGT